AAATACTTTATCTAGAAGTACAGAGCCCTCTTACTGCACATGTCCTCCTTTGTATCAATCATCAATCAATCTTTATTTGTATAGCACTGTTATCTCAAGACGCTTTACAAAAGAGCATATGGGATAATATGCAGGCAGGATTTCTCCTTTGTGAAGTGCTTTTAAAATAAAAATGGTTACGCACATCGAGGGAGAACTGTAACGTCATGGGTACATTCTGGTTAAATTTACTGCAGCTACCAGGCAGCCGTCACCTCACCTCTGCTCAGAATAACCAAAGGTTCTTTGATATCCTCAGACCTGGAGTCCATCCATCTCATTCACATCCACAGAAACAGCTTTTCACCACAATGCTCAAACCTGCAAAGTCTTCATCAGATAAAAGTGATGCAGGGTGACAGCTAAAAAAAAAAAATCTCCTCTAACAGAAAACGACAGCAACATAGGCAAGAGCATGCCCTACACTCACCGTAAGATTTTTCCTTCAAGCATTAAGAAACTTTTTAGAGGCAGAATGTTTATTGACTGAAGATTTTTTCTCCATGCAGGCAACAGCTGATCAGTGCAGATAAAAAAAAACCACACACAGCTGTGGTAACTGCTTTTTTTTGCTGCGATAATCTCATGTCAAACTGTCGGGGTAATTTCTGTTCATTCTTGCATGTGACAGGTTTATTTTTGTCCAGTGACGGGCCTCCGACTCTAAAACCTGACACCAGAGAGGCCTCGTTTTCAGAGCCACTGTGGTCCAAACGCAGCCTGAACTGCAGCAAATCTGTCACTCCTGTGAGCTCAGAGGATTTGACTGATTGTTTATAAATGTCAAACACTGTCAGTGAAAGAAAATAAAAGTTGTATTTGCTATAAAGAATGAGAAACTGAATGTGTATATTCTTTAGTAGATGAAAATAGGAATTATTTTTATACATCTTTTCATTTATTTTTATGCATTAAAAATTTAAATCTTGCAAATGAGAATGTGTGCATTTATGTAGGGTCAGTTACTTTCCTCCTAATGTGTCTGCCTTTAAAAGAAAGAAACATAAAGCTTTCGTCCTTACCTTATATTTTTATAATCCATCATTCAGGCCTCATTGTCACTTCCTTAAAAGGCTCCGTCTCCTAAAAAAAGGCCTTGTTGATCCTCTCACCTCTCACAACGTCTCTCCGGCAAGCTCTGTGTCTTTTTATTGAGAATAATCCACTGAAAAAAAATCTTCTATAAAGTCCACATCGGGGTCTCTGAGCATCTCACCAGAAGCAGGCGGCAAAGGGCTCAGGAGACCAAACAGAAATAGAGGAGTTGTCCCAGGCAGAGTGTCCACCATTGGGGGGGACAGAATGAGAGCTGGAGCCTGCATGCGGTTCTGTGTGATCCTTTGGTGTCGAGTGTCAGACGGATGAAACAAACAGCCTCTCAACTATTTTTAAATCTGGACAGCTTACTGTTGGCCATTAGCAGCCAGAGTGAGGTGTCATGAGCTGTGAACGTTTTACATCTGGCTGGGAGGTCGTGGTCTAAACCTTGAGAATCACCTTATTTTCTTGAGGTGTCTTCATGTCTATCTTACAGAGGGAGGGAGGGGGGGGGGGCAGAGTTTGGGTGCTCCTTTTGGTGACATGCATAACAAAATCACCTCTCACTGGAGTACCACCCACTGCACTGAACAGAACTGATAAGCACTTTATGCAGTGTCAACAAGTGGCACTTGGTCACCACCCGTCTGCTGCTGCTCACATGGACTAGAATTTACTTTTTTTCCAAGACAATTTGAAAGTCACAATTTCTGATTCTTCTTCTCCTCGCACAGATTTTTTTTTTTTATTTCATGCAAAGAGATATTCGTTTCACTTGAATTTTACAACCTAACACTCAAAATATGGAAGCATAATCTCCCTAGCTACAGCCTCACTCACCCCCCTGCAGAAAAGGCCATAAGGCAGAGGAAGGGGAGGACCTGTACCTCCCCCTTTCATCCCCCCTTTCTCCCCTCCTACGGCCCGCTGCTATAATAGGAGATTGCTGCAGCAGATAGTTTCCTGGGATTCTTGGCGGGTGCAGGGCAGGCCTGGTGGGATGATGGACACACACACATGGGCCTTAATGGAGACACACTCCATATGCCCTCATTAACACACACACACACACACACACACACACACACAGATGGTTTTGCATACAGGAAAGGCTTAGGTAATCCCTTTTTTAACTCGTCTCTTTCCCCCTCTTTATAAATGGCCTTCTCATCCAACACTTTTCTCCGTGTTCATCTCTACACTTCTTCTATTACAATCAGTTAGAAATCTCCTCAACCTCCTGCACCAAGCTGCTATATCATCCACTTGTGCTGCTTTCTTCTGAGCCTTCAATGCTCAGCACTTGTTAAAAATTGGTTGATTAATAAAATTTAATTTGCAAAAACTTCCCTTAGCAAGAATTACTCAGCGTGTGCTCAATTTCCCCCACTGAAGTTAGAGGAGAAGCCCGCTGTGAGGAAACAGGTTTCTTGCTTTACCAGTTCCCTCTAGTGGACAAATCGAGAACACATTTCTTATTTCATTTGGCCCTGATCAAAAATTCAGACTTCTGTTTCATACACCGATCTTGAATTGTTGTACATTGCAGCTCTGCTTTCTAGCTTTGCACCAACATGTATTACTGGAGCTCGTATGACTGCAAGCATTGATCCCAAACATGGAGGATGCTCTTCACTGTGCTGAGTAAGGAGGAGCGGAGCTGTGGTTATGTGGCAGACAGCAGACAGGCACATTACTTGCTGCATTAAGATATGCTTTGTTTGTATTATCTCCATTCAGAGATTAGCTTAATTGATTCTAATTGATTGAGTTATTGATCAGTTGTGTTGCAGAGATGATTCTGTACTGTTTTTTTTTTTTTTTAGGCCCTTCAACGGACCAGCTCTGAATGCACTCTGTGTCTGACTTTGGGTCCTTGAATAGTCAAAATGTAGGTGTCGCACCCAATGTCAAGCAAAGAATAGTATGTATGTGCCAGTCTCCCGTGGGCATACTGTTTCTTTCTGTGTGCATTATATTGTCTGTGGATTGGGTGCATGTGCACACGACTCCCTGTTTCAGGACATATTTCCCCACATCCCTGCAAAAATATTTCATTACTGCAACAAAAGAAGCCCATTAACTGCACTGTAAGAACAGAGTTCAACTGCTGTCCCCCACATTCACCATGTTTGTCTGCTTTTCTGGCCGCTCTCCAGCTAATTTGATATAACAATGCTCCACAAAACCGCCTCAGGACTTTTTTTAGGTGACAGAAAATTATCAATGATGCCACATGCACAGCTGAATGTCAACATCAACTTGACTTGTTTATCAAATATTAAAGCAGTGAATTATGGGGCGCCTGCAGAACTTAATGATGATCGGAGTCATTATAACTTCAGCATCCTTTGTTTTGGATAATGATTAAATTCCACAACTACTGTATTCAATTTTGGAGGGATTGAATGTGTTTTGCACGTCTTTTGTGTGAGTTGGCTGGATTCCGTCGTCCATATTGGTACATTTTGGGGGAAGAGGAGTTGATTTGTGTGAGGATATTGTGTTATCATTAGCTGCCATGTCAGGGGGCTTAGCATCTTTGCTCTGGGAGCTCTCATGCACTTAAAGAAAAATCAGTATATTGAACACGATGTTTTTTTTGGTAATAATATTTGGTGCATGAATTGACAAAGTACCTGCTATAAAAAAATAAAAAAAAAACCTTCATTATAATGACAAAAAAAACATGAAAGTAGGACACGATAGGTTCTGGTTTTGTTACTTTATTTTGACTGCATTTCCACTTTTCTGTCTCAAAAGTGACAATTGACTTCAGAGGATGGTCTGTGTATGTTTTTAGGGAAATAGAGTTCCAACTTAAATAAAGAAACCTCATCAGATCATTGAAATAGTGAACGTCACAAGAGGTTGACTCGTAGACATGAAAGCATCCTTTTATTGTCATATTTGTCAGTTATTTACAACATGCAAACATAATGATGTCAAGAAAAAAAAAAGAGGATGTAAGTGCTCTGTGTACAACCTGGCACGACTTCTGACATTATCTCCCTCCTCTGTGTCACCCGGGTGTCGCCTCATCAATTATTGAACCAGTACTTCATGGTAATACATAATTTCTTATCAATTATTCATGATAATGTGTGTGTAGTTTACTTAATTGTGTTATTGACTATCAAAAGTAATTTCCTGAAAATCCTCAAGGACGCAAATTGAATCAGTCGAACTCCTGGTCGTGTGCTCGCCGGTTAAGTATTCTCGATGTGATCAGCTGACCCCTTTATTCAAAGGGTCGATGCACCGCTGAGAGATATTTAACGACAAATGGAATAGTTGCCTTAGGTGATGAGAGATGGTGTTTTTTTTCCCCTCAAATGTAAATCCCACTTTCACATTAATAAATGAGCAAATTTGATGTTTAATTTGGTTTTATTGGACATGGTGAAAGGATAGGAAGAGGATGAGCTGTCCTAAAAAGTAAATAAATAATAAGAGCCTCCTCTGCCGGCTTTAAGGGAAACTGATAAATAATGTATCAGAACAGATGGCTGGAGCGAGAGGCAACAGGAGAGGAACATGAGCGACTACATCTTTAATTGTTTTAAAGAACATGTCACAACAGGGCCGGCGTGTTGGCTGTCTGCTGACGCCTCAGACGTGCTAACAGAGAGGAAGACACAAACCGGCGCTCTCTCTCTCTGTCACTGACTCTGGCACGTGTACACATTTACATAGAAAATGGCTGATTAATATTAAAGTGCACTTTCACTTTAAAAAAACTCAAAAGAAGGAGAGATTGTTTGAGCCCGTTACTGACCTGATGGCAGAAACATTATATTGCCAGAAATCCTTAAAAGAGCCTCGATCTGTTCTACACGCACAGTTTACATGCATTAACATTCACAATGTAAGCATCTGAAGGAGTTAAATTCACATTATCAAATATGTCTTTGTTGCACACATGTTGTATCTATGTCAGTCCAATAAATAGAGTCCAAGAGAGTGCATGAAGACAGATAAAGATCCAAACCACACTTGTGCTTTTTCATGGGGAAAACAAAGCCCCGTATATTCAGCATTTCTTCAAAAAAAACGATAATTTACAGTCAAATAAATATTTTAATGTCTGCGTCCACACATTGTGATTTCAGTAAAAGTCTTTCCCAGGAGTTTTTTTCTGGACTTGATTTGTAGTTGTGCTTCTTGTGTTTCTTAGAGTAGAGAAGTGATAACAGGCACGCTCACACAGATTTTAGAGTATCAGTACGTCCACGTTTTGCGTCCCAGCGCCCTCACTTTTTCTCCAGTTGTTCCTTGGAGCAGTGAGGGTGTTTGTCAGGACCGCTGCCCAGCACCGGCACCTTGTTGGCCAGACCGGGACTGGCGCTGTCCCTGCCTCTTCCCACTGCGCCGGGGACCTCGATGGAGGGCCCCACGGAGGATCGCGCCACTCCGGACGCGCTCACGCCGACTCCGGAGAGGACCCCCACGCCGGCGCCCGGCCCGCCCGCCGCGGCCCCGAGCAGGTTCGCAGACTGGAGCACAGCCTCCGAGTGCTCGCGGGCCTTCATGCGCAGGGCGGCCACGCTGGCTGTGCGGTTGCCCTGACAACCGTAGGGCGGCAGGAAGGACAGGCCCATGGGGTCAGAGACGCAGCAGGAGCACAAACCATTACCTGGAAAATATATAAAAAAAACTCCAGTGAGAGCAGTAAAAAACAGAATTTCATCTTCACATCATCTTTTTAGTTAATCTATAAATTATATCGCAAAAGTTTTCTCATGACATTTTACATAAAGAACAGGTGTAGACGGTTCGCTCTGTTACAAAGAGGCCGCCATTAACAATGAGCAAGGACTTGACAACAGTGGGCGAGGAAATTTTCCTTTTAACAGGCAGAAACTCGAGCAGGACCCGACTCGTTTGTGGACAGATACGATCCACGACCAAACGGGTGGAGACAGAGGGAGACAGGGAGGAACAGAAAGAAATGGATAGAGATGAACAAACGGAGAAACAAAAACAAAAAAAATCCAGACTTGGGCAAACAAAGAGACAGACTACGAGAGGAACAACAAAAAAATCACAGATCTTTTTGGTGCCCAAATAAATTTGAATCGTGTTTACCTTTCAGCGTGGCGACCTGTGAGAGGGCCTGGGCGTAGGTGGCGGAATTGAGGAGCGTTCCTGGGATACACGACGGGAAGAAGGGACCACTCGGACCCACCGTCCTGTTGATGCTGGAGAAAACAGACAAACTGTCACCAATCATCTATAGTTAAACACACTCACAGGTTTTTTTCTGACTACACTGTGTAGAGCTGATTCTACCTGTGCAGTCTGAGTCAACAAAATTAAAGAGCGTATCAACAGAATCACCTAGATTTCTCTCAGAGCTTTGAGGAGAGAGTTAGTGGCAGAAAGGAAATTATTTATTTTTATATCCCTCTATCACTTTGTTAAAAATGGGGCTGCAACATTTCCGTCTTTAACGTCTCCTGTTTGGAATATTTAACAACAATTAAACTACAGCAGTCGTCCGTCCGTCTGCCCTTCCTCACCTCTGCTGCATCTCCAGCGGTTCTTTCTGTTTCCTGCCGTGGTCCACCGGGGACTGAGAGTTGAGGCTGCGAGACGGAGGAGTGCCCTCGCTCATCTGCTCTTTCCCTCCTTCCGGGTCTGAGCTCCCTCGCTCCGTCTTCCTCCACTTCGCTCTGCGGTTCTGAAACCAAACCTGCATTAAAACAAAACGACAGATGAAAGGTAAGACCGAATGCATGAAGATGATTAAATTGATTTTTATAATAACAAATGGAACATCGCTACATGTACATCCATTTATTTTTGTTATTGATTGAGATTTTTTTTTTGTTAAGCTTTTAATTTCTCGAGCGTTTTCTTTCATTTCAGTCAAATAAATGCAAATTTAAACGTGCACAGATTTAATGTTTGTCCAGCCTTCTGAGAGGCAGAGCAAAGTTTAAACATTCTCTCATATTCTTTGATTTGTCCTGTAGATCCAGAGGTACTTGAATGCCTCACACCAAGCGCTTTAATGTCCCACACTCCCTGACTTATCCCCAAAAACTTCTCCATCCACACAGCTGAGAACATATATAGCCAAGTTCTGGTGTCTTAATCGAATGAAGGTCACTGCCTATAACAACATTTAATTGAGCAATTTTTCATTATCATATTTTAATGACTTCCCACTGACAGTTGTGCTGCCCGAGAGAGGGGCAGCTATGATGAAGTCGTTTATTTCCCTATTTAGTGATTGTTTGACAACATCAGATTCGATTAGGACTCGGTTCTAGCAGGCATTAATCATGATGTGTGAATGGAGGTTAAAGCCGGTGTGCGTGTGCTCTGCATCCCTGCCATTGTACTGGAGGTACAAATGATGTCAACAGCCAAACAAAACGCGTGCATTCATTCGGCATAAAGAAAGGACAACATTTTTGGTGGCAGGACAACAATGCAACCAATGGACTTATCTCACCCCTGCACCTTCCAGCTAGAAGTCGCCCCCCCCCCCCCCTCATACACGCACCCCTCTCTGAATGGGCTATAATTGCTCCATTAATCTCAATTTGCCGCGTGCTCTTAATGCGGGGGAGGCCCATTGACACTCTACAAAAAGGGGGGGCAACAACACTACAACAGAAAGGAAATTTATTTTCTAATAATAATGTAAGTTTAATATCCCTGCATACTGCGCTGGATTCATGTTCAGATTTAATAATAGGAATGTGGTAATCGGATTAGGAGGGGAATAATTTGTTTACAATCCCTAATTTACAGCTCTGGATTCCATTATCAACCTCGCCATTGGGTTTAAGCGATAGTAAGATGACCCTGGGGAACAAAAGGCAAACTATTATATTTCCCACAATTAGATCTGGGCGCACAACAAAACCCAAAAGCAAATCTGGAATGCAGGAAATTACATACAGGACACATAACTTAATTACATCTGGCCAAGTTTATAACGGCGCATATGTGCAGGGCAGGAGCGGAATATAAATTGGCAAATTTCAGGTGTGTGTGTGTGTGTGTGTGTGTGTGTGTGTGTGTGTGTGTGTGTGTGTGCTTTTTTGGGTGTTTTCAAAGTGTGTAGGTCTGAAAGAAAAAGAAATAAGTGAAAGTTGTGAAGCTGCAGGCTTTGCCCTTTAAAAAAAACCATATTTCTGTGTTTGAACGGGACAGGGGATCTGCACGGATGATGTATTCCTACCTTTGAGACGCGGACAAATTAGCGAGGAACATTATCGCTGCTTAATTATGAATGACCGATTAATCAGGCTAATCTAATATTCACCATTATGTTGATGTTATTAAAGTGCAGCGCCGGGATGACAGAGTGGCTTCATTTCAACCTACCTGCACCCTGGCCTCCGTCAGGTTGATCTTCATGGCCAGCTCCTCTCGCGTGAACACGTCCGGGTAGTGAGTCTGCGCAAACACAGCCTCCAAAGCCTCCAACTGCAGGGACGACAAAGTTCAATCAGGCTCATTCCGATTTGTCCATTCTGTTATACTTCTTTGTTTATAAAGGATTTTCTCTTCTCTTTAATTCTCCTCATCAGGTGTTTTTAACTCTTACCATAAGAGCTGCATTAACATTTAACTATTGGATGAAAAGAGTTAAGGAGGCTAAAATAACCGAAATTAAAAAACAATAGGTAATAAGTTTAAAAATACAAGTAAGAGTAGGCCTACAAGTATATTTAAAAATCACAAATCCACTCAAGTTTGCAGGTATTTTACAGATATAGGATATAAAGGCCTATACTGAATATGAACTTCTATGGAGCTTTCCTCTTTTATCTTTTATCTGGATATGGAGTCTTCAGAACAGTTTGAATTCAATCAAATTGTATTTCCACGCGTAATCTTCAAAAACACAATTATCTCTGCAAGTGCCCTTATATTGTATTTTTAATTCCCCTGCATTTAAACCAATTATCTTAAATTTATTTGTGATAGTCTTCTTGTCAAATCAGTTGTAAAGGCGTTGATGCCCTGTCTACTTTTCTCTCCAGTCTTTTTTTTTCCTCCTTCAAACTTTGACAATTGTTTCTTTTTTTTTTTTTCTTTCACATTAACATCGAGGCCTCGGTCTGCTTCACTTTAAGGTAAATTAAAATGTGCTGTTTTTCCTCCCTGGTTAATAATTACCTGTTGCAAAGTAAACGTTGTTCTGTTTCTTCGCTGTTTTCTTCGTAGAAATCCATCATCAAAATCAGCCGGAGCGTGGTTGCCAAATCCGCTTGAATTCACTGAGAGAGAGAGAGAAAAAAAAGTTTGTAAGTCATTTATACAACTTATTAAAAAGAGTTGTATTGTTACAGTGTGTATTTAAAATACTGAATTAATTATGTTAAAAGGAACTCGTGGAAACGATGTGAACAAAGGGGAAATAAATCTCTAAATGTTGTTGGCCAAAGCAGACAGATTAGGGAGTTTACTCTTTGGCACATTTCGTGTTTCCATTAGTTGCATGAAACATTGATGTCGGGAGTCTGAGGGGAACCATGACGGACTAAGAGCCATGACACCCAACATCTGTGCCCGGGACAAAACACCCCCTCTGCCCCGGGGCCAGAGCACCAGCGCTCCTCACCAGAACAGCCAGCAGATTGACACAACAGAGGAGGAAATCACGCTTAACCCTTTAAATCCACATTTGGAATTGACAGAAGGCGCAAAGATCAGGTCACTGAAAATGATTCAAATGATATTGGTGATAAATAAAACATCCAAAGTATTTAACTTTTCGTCTTCAAGGCGGATAATCTGTTTCATAGCTTGTTGTGCCGATTTGATGTGATTTTTTTAAATTAATTACAGCAGAACATTTGTTTTTATACTCGCGTAGGCCCGTGTCTTTTTCTTTCTTTAATTAAAACGATCGTTCAATGATGAAAAACAAAGATTCAAAACACGGAGGAAGGATCTGCTCAGGCCTCGAACAACACACACGCTTTTGTGCGCAATTACGCATCGCGAACATGTCCAAACTTCTAACCGAAACGTAAGCTATAACTCACAGCTGTGTGGAATAAAATTGATGACATTTTTTTTTTGTGAATAATGCCAAAGAGACAACTCACATGTGTTGGAGCGGCAGCACTCTCCGTCCAGCTGAGGCGGACAGTGGAAGTAGAACATCCTGACGCGTCTCTGAGCTGCGAAACCAAACCTGGAACAGAGACAAAAGTTTGAACTCGCAGCCTCAGACTGACTTCAGCTGCTGCAGTGAAATCCAGATCGCTGGCAGGGAATCACACATTCATTTAGCAGTAAGAATAGAGAGACTTAGAGAGAGGCTTTAAAGATGATCAGTGAGAGCGGATCGTATACCTGCAGTGAGGATGCTGAGGAGAATGACTTCCCGCTCTGAGGGAGGAGGTGACTGCTGCACTTCCTCTGACTCTCTGTCTGGGAGTGTCCACATCTCTCTCTCTCTCTCTCTCTCTCTCCTCTCTCTCTCACACACACACACACACACACACATACACACTCAATTCTGTGTGTGTGTCTCTCTGGGAGTGTCCAGATGTCTCTATAACTGTATAACTGTCTACAGAGTGTTCAGGCTTTCAGCTAGTGTCGCAGAATCTCACGCCTAATTGGTCCTAATCGGATTATCACGGCTTTGTCTCTCTCACCCCCAACCCCTGGTGCTAGCGTGTGTGTGTGTCTGTGTGTGTGTCAGAGAAAGACAGAAAGAGAGAGAGAAAGAGGAAGAAAGAGAAGTGAGAGAGGGGAGATGTACCCAGGGTGGCAAACGGCAGCTCTGCTCTGGTGCCAAAAAATTCATCACAAGTGATTGTTATTCGAGAGTCAAGCAAATTCCCTAACCATAAACATGCACACATACCCGCTGCACTTTTTATTTGGTTCTTTCATATATTAAAAAAAGGAGGATGACTGCTTTTGGGTTTTAGATTGACTGTCGGGTGGGTTAATTGCTCGTCAGGGTGTGTTAGCAGGTCCACTTTACAAGGGGTTGCGCATGTAGAACACTCACAAGGCCAAATTTTTGATTTTGTTCACAGCAAGGGGTCCTGCGATTTATTTCGCTTCCTCAGATAAATGATGTGCTGCGGGACCCTTTCAATTAGTTTTAAAGCGCATCTGGGACGGCAGAGCGCAGACGCCATGCGTCTCTGAGGTGGAGGCAAAATGAGGCTTCGAGAAGCAGCTGAAATTTAGAAGAGGAGTGCGGGATTGGACTAAACCACATAAAGTGCAGAAAATCCCTTCTAATGGCGCGTAATTGGTTCTGTAATATCATTACAGGCGGATAATGGCCAGTTACAGGGCCCCGCGCTATTAAGGGTTTCCCTGGCGTGCAGCGTTTATGTTATTAAAGGGGGAATATAATGATATTTTAGTTATTAAATGCGCGTAATTAATTTATGCACCACTGAAAATAAAGTTGTTATTATGACCTCGGCGAGGTGCGTGGAGAAAATTGAAATCAAATAACGGTTGATAACTTTATCCCAATATTTGGTCTAGACAACTCTGACAATAGAGCAGGCCTGTGTGTGTGTGTGTGTGTGTGTGTGTGTGTGTGTGTGTGTGTGTGTGTGTGTGTGTGTGTGTTTCCTGTCAGCGCCTTCCCTCTCCATCCTCTGATGATTGCTTAAATAACTAAGTGTGTGAGTAAAATTATTCTCTCGTCTACTTTGGTTAGAAACAGTTTAACGAGAAATTTTAACGAGTTTTTCATATCCTGTCCAGGGTCACAAGATCTCTATCCTTATTTACATTTCAGGACCTCGCTCAGCATCTCTCACTGGCTCTCTAATCAGGGACTTTACATTATTACCAATTCTGATATATGAAACATTTGACAATTCACTTAAATTCCTTTAATATTATTGGAAATATGTTCATTAACTTCAAACTGTTAAAATGGCTCCAAAGTTTTAATGTTTCACTCTGAACTGTATTACCAGGAAAATCAAATACCTTTTTTTTTATAATTGATTTGAGCTCATCTTCCTTTACTCTCTAGACTGCAAATGAAAGAACCTTCAGAGGTGAATTCATACAGAACGGCACCACGAGTTTTTATTTTATTTCTTTTAAATCATGGCAGCTGAATAACTCTTCAGCTTCTGTCTGATTCAACACAAATAACTGGAGGTAGGTCATTAAAACACAACTCTGTAAACAATGCCAAACCGTCGTCGTATTTGTACGTACAATTCAAGAAATGTCAGTTATTACAAAATCCACTAAAACGTGTGGTGATAAGGTCATGTTTACAAAATGATACACTTCATCCCGTCACATTTTATAAAAGTATTTTACTCAGCCTTCTCCAGTGAGCTTATAAGTCGACACAATTGGAAAACAACAACATGTATATGTCAGTAAATCCTTTTCAGGGTAGAACAGTAATAAATCAAGTGAATTCAAGTGTAACAGGATGCAGACAACACATAGAAGAACTGACAAAATGCTTGAAGGAGAACAAACATGGAAGCAGAAAAAAAAAAAAGATTGAAACAGACTTTTTCTATAAGACTGAGTAACCTGGAAAACGGACAGTTCTTTGAGTTGGCAGTAAACTGCAGCATGGCTTTCCTTTACCATTAATAGATATTTGTTAAATTGGTTGAAGTAAAATGACAGTATCTGTTTGGATGTAAAGTGACTGATGTATTTTTGTTAAACAGTTACAAAAAACAAGTAAAAAGTAAATTATTGTTAGCCTGAGCACTACAGTCTAATGGAATACAAGTCCTCAGATATGCGTCACAGTTCAGTTGTTCCTCCTCTTTTGTCTGTGCATCTCTCAGCGGAAGCCCTCCTTCAGTCTCCAGATCCCCTCCTGACCAGAAGTCCTGTGGAAGTCACAAATGCTCCTGAGCAGCTCTCTGAATACCGGCGCCTGATTCTGGGTCAGCCTCGGTTTGAAATACTCCAGCACTTCCTTAGTTGTGGCCTCTCCGTCCACAGTCGCCTGGAAGGCTACAAAGTTACGCAGATCCACCAGCAGCTCGTCGTGCTCTGTGGGCGGAGCCGGGGAGCTCGGCCCTGCAGCTCCAGAGGCGGTCTCCTCCTCTTCTCCCGCTTCATCTCTTTGGCTGGAGGGCAGGCTGACGTGGTTACGGACTCTCATCTTGGCCAGCAGGGAGGAGGAGGAGAGCGGGGCGGAGTTTGGTTCGCTCTCTGCCGCCTCCCCGCTGAAAAGAGCTGCTGATCCTGGCTTCTTTGAAACAGACTTCTTTATAATAGCAGCATCCTAAAGAAAGGAGCACATTAAATACCACACCAGGTAACAAATAGAAATATCTGACTTAACTATACTGGATAATAACACTTCAGTTACCTTGCATTTGCTTGATGTAGAGACGGATTTGACTGAATTATCAACCAGGAGAGAATTCTTCTTTTGTCCAAACCGTTTCCTGACAAAGAAAACAAAGAAAAACTGAGATATGTTTGTTTTAAACAAATAGATGAGTGATGCTTTAAACAACCCCAGTGTGTGAGTGTTTACCTTGCAGGTGGAGGAGGGGGTCTGTTGAACGGCAGCCTGCACTTCTGGCGAGAAACCTTTAGTGCTCTCATGGCGTCTTTGGCCACCCTGTTAGCTTCGGCCTCCACCAGGACGTAGTCAGGGTTGGAGGACTCTATGATGGCGTCATGCTGCATCACACTGTGGATACCTGAAGACAACAATAAACACAAGACCTTACTGATAGGGCTGGGAATCTTTGGGTGTCTCACGATTCGATTTCGGTTCTTGGGGTCATGATTTGATTCTAAATGATTCTGTATTCATGGATCCAAGGGTTCAAAGTCTATTTATGAATGAGTCCAAACTTCAGGATTTACTCCAGTCATCTGACTGACTGAATTTCTTGCTCCTCCATTTGGCATTCTACTGAGTTAAAGAGCTAGCCTTAGCAGGAAGTGACTGATTAGCCCAAAAAATATTTTTTTTTTTTATTAAAAAAATATTATTATAGTTTTTTTTAAATAAAAAAAATTAAAATCAAATTTTGGAAGTTATTAAAAGATTTCAAATCTTAAAAGAGAAGAATCTCGATTTTAACATAAATCGACTTTTTCCCACCTCTACTTACTCTACATGAAACTTAACTGAAATTTGTCTGAGAGGGTTTGCACTTAGATTGTCCTTTTAAAAAAAAAAAAAGTTTTTTTGGGTCTTTTTTCTTTTATTAGATAAGACAGCTGAGGAGAGACAGTAACTATTCAAAGGTGAGAGTAGGGGATGACACGCAGTAAAGTGCCGAGGTCGGACTTGAACCCACAACCACAGGGACGAGGACTATAGCCTCTGTACGTGGGGCGAGCGACATAAACGCTAGACCATGGTTGTCATGTTTTTTAAAACTTAAATAATTTTGACGTTAAAGAACAATATTTTCATGACTGATAGTATCAGAAAGATACTTTAATTAAAAAAAAATCTCATATCATTAAGTCATACATAACCAAAGGAGAGAGAGAGAGCAGTCTAAAATGCACAAGTACGTTGGCAACACATTATTGGTAGTTACAAATATTAAATTAAACCATCTCAGGTGCTTAAGGACTTGGAATTTATATTTTTTCATTTTTACTAGTATCATTTCAAAGTTTTAAATTCTGATTGTAATGTTGTAGTTTGAAAGGTTGAATCATAACAGAAATACACAATCTGGACAGTAACAGGCACAAACCAATGGTAATCTAATTTATGACTTTAGCCAGGTCATTAGGTCATGTTCTGATACACACATACCCACCCACCCTTTCCTGGTAATAGACAAGTTGTCCAGCCAAGAAACTTCTAGGAAATGGTCTTTATATAGCACACATGTTTCATATAGCATATAGCACACAACCCTAGTTTGACAAAAAAAAAAAAAACGTACCAGATTTCCTGAAGAGCTTTGCCAAGACGTAATCGTCTGATTTCTTCAGGTTGTCGGCCTCGTTCTCTTCACCGACCTCTTTATTAAAGTTCCTTTTCTTTACCAAGTGAGAGATGCGGTGGCCTTCAAAGCGAGCATCCTTGGAGTGTTTTCTCTTCTTATGTTTGCGTTTGTCTGAGCCAGAGGAGTCGCAGTGCTTCCTCTTCTCTCTGTGTTTCTGTGGGCTGCTTAGAGCAGAGTCTCCGTGTTGTTCAGAGCTCAGCGTGTTGGAGTGTTTGGCGGCGTCACAGTTATTCTGTCCTGTTTGTTGAGCATTTGCTGAAAGATGTGGTTCTACACCCGTACCGCTTTGGGTGTCCATCGTGTCATTGGATTTACCCTGAGAGATTTGACTGCACGGAGATGTTTTTCCATCTCTTACAGCAGGAATGTTTGCTGAGGAGTGTCTCCTGTCTGAACCAGCTTCATTCTGGTCTGCTGAGGAGTGTTTAAGCCCGGAGCTGCCGTGTCTCACATTGTGTGAGGACCTCGGCCTCTCGGGTTTCTTGGGTGCTTTGACATCAGAGCCAGTACCTGTATGGGATTTAAAACACAACCTTTAAAAACTTACATTTTCATACATTCAGAAAATAAAATATTTCTCTGGTACAAGATAAAAAAAAAAGGGGCAAATAAAAGCAGCATCCACTGACCTGCAAATATGGCACTGGTCTCTGTTCCCTGAGCTCCATCTGGGTCAGTCAGCGTGAAGAGCTCATAGATATCGTTAGACTTGAAGAAGCGTCTTTGTTTGGGATCCTTCAGAACCCGGTTGGTCAGAAACTGTTTAAAGATTTGCCTGAAATAAAACAAACAGAACACAGAAATAGATTATTGTGCATAATTTGCTGTTTCACCTCAGTTGGCAACCCCGATCGTCTGTCACCACAGAGTAGTTCGGCTGATGGATGAGAAAATTAGTTAAGCGTTCTTCTGTAGGTACCGAAATAGAATCCCTGCAGTTTTTTTTTAAACTTGCTTTTTGAAAGCACATCACAGACCCAAACCAACCAGAGCAACAGTTTAGAAGTCCTAGATTGGCCATTTAATAAAGCCGGAAAGCTTTTCAATTACTGAGAACGGGGTTAGTGCGCGTAATAACTCAGCAGTGATGTGAGCAATTAGTCATGTTATTACCAATACTCATGAACATGTGAAGTCCACGGGAAGACAAAGAGGAGGAAGAGACGGAACAAAAGAAAGTGGAACATGATTTAAAACTATTTTTAATTAGGTAAGAGTTAAAAAAAAAAAAAAAAAAAAGACAAAAAAATCAAACAGACCTGTGATAGATTTTCTCCTCGATGGTCCCGGCGGTCAGAAGTCTGTAGATGGTCACCTGCTGCGTCTGCCCGATCCTCCACGCCCGCTCACGTGCCTACATACAAAACAATACGATCAAATACATTTTAATAAATAACTAGAGAGATTATTAAGAAGCAGGAAATTATGGTGTTTAACTGTGAAGGCTCAAATGTATAAACTACAAAAATCACATGAACAGACATGTAATGCATGTAGTAAATGTTTTATTTGAATCCTGAGTGTGTGTCTGTCTGACCTGTGTGTCCGTGCTGGGGTTCCAGTCTGGGTCGTAGAGGATGACTCTGTTGGCTCCAGTCAGATTGACTCCCAGACCTCCGACTTTAGTGGTCAACAAGAAGATAAAAATGGATTTGTCCTGTAGGCGTGGAAAAAATGTCAGTGACAAACTCCATGTCCGAGGTTTTATTCTCTTTCTGATCATCGGCTCAGGTCATTTGAATGTCATGTTAAGGAAAGGAAACAATTTACAACACTCAAATTAAATGTTGTTTTTTAAAGAGAATGAAGTAGCATCCTTGAAACCGGACTTTCAGAGAAGAAGAAATCCTTTAAAATTAAAATTAAAATTAAAATAGGTCATCATCTTCCCCAAAAGCTGCTGCTAATGAAAGAAAGAGACTACTGTCATATTTGCACAAATATGTTTGCAATGTTTTGGTTACCAACCGACTTGTTGGGAATCAAAAACAGTAAATGACCCGATATCAGGTTCATAGGACTGTGGAATAAAGCAGGTATCCATATTATTTGATTTGACTAATATCATATTCAAGTTTAAATTCATGCATCGTGACAACCCCTAACCATGACAAATGACAAAGTGGATAAAACTTAAAGTCACATTACAACCTAAAAGTAGAAATGAAAAAGCTCAGACGGTTTTATCACTATGTTGCCTTAATTCTAAATTTGCACTTTTTTAAGTACAGACTGATATTCCACTTATTGTATTTCAATAAAAGACACTTGAGTTACATCCAGTTTGAACAACAGATTGTCATCAATTAGTGTTTCCACCTCGGGGTGTGCAGGTCTCCACTGAAGCCTTCTGTCCCTCAGGACGGGATTTTCCAGGGAAACACTCAGAGCCATTAGGGAGGCCTAATCCTTACCTCGTTGTAGCGAGCGATGAGGGGCTGTCGGGTAGCTATAGGGGTGGTGCCGTCCATTTTTAGGTACGTGTAGCTATTCTCCCTCACAAAAACCTCCAAGATTTCCAACATCTGGAGAGGAGGAAACAATAAACGGCAGCCAGTGAGCAAGAAGAGGAAGACCGGGAGAGAAACAGAGACAGAGAGAGGAAAGGAGAGGCTGACGTTTGGATTATCTCTAAAAGGATTAGAGCAGATTAATATTACATGGACAGAGATACCGACAGGGAGGGTCTCAGGTTCCCTCTGAGGTATAATCTCATTGGTATTGACTGCAACAGCTGGGGCCTCCCTCTCAAAAGCACACACGCAAACACACTCTCTCCCCTTGTTGCTCTCATACACACATTTAGGGAGCAGAGGGGTTGTAAGCACACAACAACAACAACAACAAATGCAGACACATACATGTGGTCATGACGATTAATTAGGAAAGTTATCGGACAGCCGGAGCCGCCTGTTCCTCACCTGTCTGGACTGAGTGAAGAGCAGGACTCTGTGGCCCTGTTTGAACCAGAGACGCAGCAGTGACTCCACCACCATCAGCTTTCCCGAGCGTTTCCAGTAGCCGAAGTGTTCCTCCTCGGTCAGCTGGTCCTCTGGGATTCCCCTCAACATGCGGGGTCCCCCAGAGAAAAGGTCCGGGTGGTTACAGATCTTTCTCAGCGCTATCAAACCGGAGAATACCTAAACAGCACCAAACAGGGAAAAAAAACAAAAGTGAGAGAAACTTTTCTTTTTTGTCGATTGAGGCAGCTCCGAAATAAAAATATCATCCTGCATTCTTTTAACTCTTATCTTCCTTTCACTGAGAAATCCCGTTAGTAGCTGTGACAGAGCTATAAAGAACTCGTCTTTCTCAAGCTGATGGTCTTGTTTGCTGGCTCATATCGAGGCATCAGAGTCGCTTTCATAACCGTCTGAAAACTCCTCTCTGTATGTTTGAATAAACAGGAAGTTGCTTTCAAAAACAAGAAATGATTACCGGTGACAACAGTAGTATAAAGTTTTTACATTTTGCTGCATTATTTTACCTTTAAACAAATAAACACATTTACTTTAGTCTACAGGAATGAGGTACATAATTTATTTACAGACAATAAAGGCTGTGTTTCTTGATGAAGGCCCAACGGCCACTGCATTAGTAATGGTGGTTAATGGACTGAGAGTGACCACTGCATATGTCTAGAAGAGTGTGTGTGTGTGCGTGTGTGTGTGTGTGTGCAATCTGCTGTGGTCACCCCTGGCTCTCCAACCACGTCCATTTGGTCAGTGGTGATAAATGGTGGAGTCTCTCTCTCCTGGGTCTGGCTAATGTGAGAAGAACAACTGCACAGCTTCCTTAAAGACAGCACCTGAAGTCAAGCTGGAAGGCGTTTTTAAAAAATGTACATGGGGAAAAAAAGAAATGTAATTCCACTGATGCTACATCAAGGTGTTGTTCTGTAAGCGTACAAGAGTGCTTAAAAGAACACACACAAAGGCCTGAGAGCAGAGAAGTGAACTGCTATTCATCAGTTAAGAGGTTAAATAATGAATAAGGAAAGTCTTGTTCCTGGAAGTCTTCTCCTTGATGGAGAGTTTTTTTTTTTTTTGCTCTCCACGTCTTTGTAACGCAGCATGTGTCAACGCAAAGAGAACAAATGGAAGAGCAATAAATCAAACAATCAGTTTTCTTAACTATGAAATAAAGGCTTACCATCATGTCCCCGTTTAGGATCTGGTAGACCTCTTTGGAATCCAGGAAACTCTGATACACCTGCCTCTGATCCTCTGTTAATCTACAAAACAGAACCTACACACACACACACACACACACACACACACACACAGGGCGGTGTAAGAGAGTGTGTAATGAGCAGGGAACATCCACTTTAAAGCCCTTTGATGAAGTGCAGAGTGTGAGGAGAGAAATTAGAGGGAAAGCGGTGTGTTTTTTGGAGCCACTGCCGTCCTGAGGGATTCACTTAATGAGCTGAAGTGGACTGAGGAGTCAACCAGCGTCAGCCGCGAGGACAGACCAGGGACCGGCCACCTTAATGAATACCTGCTCCTTTTACTTTACCGGGACTTTATTAGCTGGCTTCACCTGACAAAGGGCCGAGCACATTCATCAAATAGTCCTTAGACGTGGCACATGCAGTCACATACAATCAGATAAACACCTCCCCAGTTAAGAGAGAGAGTGGCGGATCAATACGCGGACACGACAGGGTCAAAATGTTGTCGAGAGTGATGAATACCTGCTCGTTTTTGTCAGGTAAGGAGAGGTTGGCTTTGACGTCTGCTTTCATTCTCCGGAGCAGGTAAGGATTTATGGTGTCCCTCAGCACGCTCGCGCACTTAAACGCAGTCTGAACCTTAAAAAAACAAACAAACAAAAGTTAAACAAACAACATTCAAGACAGCATGTCACCAACAACTGATTCGAGAGTTCGACGACATGACAGCTCCCAGAAGGGAAGCCAAAAGGGAAGCTCCTCCTAGTGACCGGCTGCGGTATGAGTCACAAGCTCCACCTCCTCCATGTTAACATGTTAACATTCAAAAACATGCTGATCTATATCCAACTGGTCATTTTTTTTCATAGGTTTATTTTTGATTAGTTATTTGACGCTAAACAAAAAAAAGAGTGTACAGGACTCACTCCACTGTCAGTAACTTTGAGTGTCTGCTTCAGACTGACACCAAATCTAAGACCTGAGGGATCTTTTGTGTTTTATCCGACAGTTAAATGTGTGTTTTGGTTAGCGGAAAGGGGCAGAACGTCAATACCAGAGCTCCACCAGCTTGTTCTTGCTGCGACTCTCACTTCCTGTTTTGTTGGGTATTTTAGCTTTTATTTTTTTGTACAGCAGGAGGAGGTGGAGATTTGCCTTTTCTGTCATTTTATACAGTCAATGACTCGCACCTTTCATTGTTGATGTTTCCTGAGGCATGATTCTCCCCTCTTACGCCTCCTCTCATCACCTCCCTCTTGTTGCTGTCCCTCTCAGAAGTACAAGCCATTAAACATTGATCAGAGTGCTGTTGGTCTCGGGGGGGACAAAGCCCTCCTCTTTCATCAGTACAACAAGCTGGCCATTGGACACAGAGAAGAAGATACAGAGAAACGTCCACTTCCACCCTGCTGCAAATGTCCTGCTACACCTCATCCAGACTCAGTGCTAAAGGCCAGTTAGCCCTTTAAACATTAACTCACCGGGGGTCCACAGAGGGATCAAAGACACACTCTTGCAGTGCCGGAGGGGGCAATAACGTGTTGGGATTTAGGGCACAAAAGAGGTCAAGAGTGGAAAAAGCAGAAGAGGAGGAAGGACGGCAGATGATCCGGTGATCTCTGCACAAGCTGCTGAGTGGATTCACGCGGGGGTTAGTAATGGATCCCACAGTGATAAGCTCATCCAGCCCCACCCAACTCGCATACATTTTTTTTTTTTTAACGTAAATCTGGTTGTACGTACATGAACATCCGCCGAGGACCCGCTTTGCTGCTCTGACAATTTCGAGAAGAGGATAAGGCAGCAGAGCTTAGCCCTCTCTGACCATTTAATAACATTAATAATTAGTAAAGGTTTTTATTATCGACAACGGAAGAAGCATCAATAGCCGGCTTAAATAATTAAATCCATACAGTCAGTGGATTATTAACGACTGAACACTAATGACAAAGGGCTACAATTTAGCTCACTGGCTCTCCACTTTAGCCTCTCCCTCTCTCTCGTTCCCCCTCTCTCTCCCTCTCTCTCTCCCGCTCTCTCACACACAGGGGATGTACTGAAGTTCCTTTGCATGGTCCTACATTATCCTGCTCTGCACTTAATGGCCATCTTGCTTCAATCGCTCTCCTCTTGACTTGCTTCCATGTGGTTCTACAAAATTGTGCGATTTAGCGTGTGTGATTTTACATTTTGTCCTTCATTGATATTCGTTACAAGATTACTGATAGGGTAGCTGGAAAAAGGAATTCTATTTGACGAAAGTTTGCCGTGTCCTGCCACAATTGAGACGACTCTCCAATAGGGAGCTTGCTTTTATCCGCTGTGGGACCGTGTCTTTAAGACAGCCTGCCCGAGGATTAGAGAAACTTCCCCTTTGTGGATACTTTCACAGAGAAGTCTTCAAACTATCAGGATGATAATAATATGAATATCAGGATTTTACTTAGGGTGGCTCCTCTATGAATGCCCTCGTTTATCAGTCATTGTGACTCTTAATTAACTGTTTTAATGTGTGTGTGTATCTGTGTGTGTATTTTTTGTTTACATTTTATGGACTTTGATTTAATTTGAATTTGTCGCAGTGATTATATTTAAATTTTTGTCTTTTCTGTGTTGATCTTGTTTAGTGAAGCATTTTGGGCTACATGTTCGTAAGAAAAAATCTTTATTTATAAATAAATATGAGTTAAGGTGAAATAAGCTTGTTTGGCCTTTTACCCATTTTATTTGAAGGTACCAGTAAATGTTTTACTCGAACAACTTTACCACTTTAAAAAAGGTTTAAAATCAAATATAGATAATGCTCTATGACATCCTAATGGTCTGTCTTTACACCTGATTTCAGCTTCTTCAAATGTGTGAACCGTCCCAATTGAGGTGTCATGCTTTTTGAAATTTGTTCTTATTAAACAAGCTTATTGAAGCTCAAAAACAAGAAGAACTTCAGCAGCAGAATCTAAAAATAGATCTTTTGATCATTAATTTCTTCTGGTAATTTTGTTTGTGATGAGAGGACAGATGAAGAGAGAAACCAGGTGTGAAAAAATGGGGCGACATGCAGCACAGGGCCCAGGGTGGGGATGAAACTTGGGCCGCTGTTATAATGACTTTATCAGTTGAGCCACGCAGACACATCCTCATTGTACATTTGTGTGTGTGTGTGTGTGTGTGTGTGTGCGTGTGTGTGTGTGTGTGTGTTTTAGTACCTGTACAGGTGAGGCATTGCTGTATCCTCCCATGGTGATTGGCACAGAGAACTGCTCCATGAAGACGGGTAACGCCCCCAGTTTACCGGGGAAGACAAAGTCAAACAGAGACCACAGCTCCTTCAAATTGTTTTGCATGGGAGAGCCTGACAGGATGAACCTGTGCGGAGTCCGAAACTACAGAGAGGAAGGAGAAAGTAGATATTATATTACTGAAGATCAAGCGTGTGCTGCTGAAGGAAGAATTGAGACGATTCAGAGAAAATTAAAGGCATGGATTCATTTTTCAACTCCAGTTTAAATGTAGTCATAAGCAAAAAATAAATCAAAATATAGCACTATATTACAATTTCTTAGGGTGTTTAAATATGCATGTTTCTGAATGTTTCTGAAACGTTACCTGTTTGCAGGCGGTGGTGACTCCAGCATTTGGATTCCTGATCTTATGGCCTTCATCCAGAATAATGTAGTGCCAATCGTAGCGCTGCAAGCTCTCTTGCATATTCCTCACAGCCGAATATGAAGTTATCAGGATACCATGACATGCTGCTATTTCTGGTATAAGCTTTTCCTGCATCAGAGAAAGAAAGAAGAAGAAAAAAAAAACAGGTTGTCATCATTGCAATTTCTAACCATGTCTGGAAGCTTGAGTGTGGAAGTAGGGCATCTACTTTAATGTGGTTTGAGGGGAGAGGGGAAGAGGGGAGAAGGTTAGGAGATAATGCTGCATAAACAGACCTCTAGTGCCCCCTAGAGGAAAAAGGGGCCCAGTAGAAAACTTTCCAACTGAATTATGAATATGAAAATTGAACACACAACAAGAAACAATTACCTTGTTGCTGGTGAATGAGCCGGTTTCATGTAGAACGGCGACTCTGAAAGGAGGCCACCAGGTGTGGAACTCTTTTACCCATTGGTGCATGACTGTAGCAGGGCACACGATGACCGTCGGACCCAGACCAACATACCTTAAAGCAAACACACAGTATAGAATATTTAATGTCCAAGCGGCCGTTGAGATGGGCAACGGGGGAGCTGGGGTTCATAAAACTTCAGATAACCTCAGCAAATTTTACAGCAAAATTACAGTCATCATTTCTATACCAAGGTACAGGAATGAGTTTTTCCCAAAACATGAAAAGGAAAATGTGTTGAGCTTGCATGCAGAATTTGTGATGCATTCAGGCACAAGAGAAACATAGGAAACCAAGAGTTCAGGTATAATAATACAGCAGAATGATCTTACTACAAAGCCCACCTCCAGTGCTACAATCTCTCTCTGCCTCTAACTTATGAATCAAACAAGGTGTACGAACTCTTGCTATGTGAAGATTTACAAGAGCTTCATCAAACACACACACACACACACACACACACAATGACACACTAATGGGCTGGTATGAACCCCTGCCCGGTGGAAGCTATTGATACTTGGCCATAATTGAGTTTAAAAGCAATCAATTTGTGGGCGTCCATAGCAGACAGAGTATTGACCAGCAGGGAAGCTCCGCCTCCTAAATGCACGAGTGTCGTTTGTGCAGTAAAAAGCAGATTATCAACACCACAGTGGCATGTTTACCCTGGTTGATTTGTTGCCCTTCCCCTGCTCCACCCACCTCCCCCACACACACACACACACACACACACACACACACACACACACACACACACACACACACACACACACACACACACACACACACACACACACACACACACACACACACACACACACACACACACACACACACACACACACACACACACACACACTTCATGAGTCCAAAATTCATTTTAAGGGTATGTAAAGACACTCTACTCTAACAGACACTCTCCATCTCCCCCTTTCTCTCTCACACACACACACACACACACACACACACACACAAACACACACACACACACCACACAAACAGAGTGTCAGTGTTTTCTCTGATGTCTGCAGTAAGAAAGTGAAGAGTCGGATAATTGAAACATGTTTAATAATTCAGATGAACACTCTCAAGCAGAAATCCCCCTAATCAAATATTCATACCATACAGACACACAGTCTCTGGCCACAGTTTGTTTGTGTGTGTATGTGTGTGTGTTCGGTGTGTGTGTGTGTGTGTGTGCGTGTGTGTGTTCGGTGTGTGTGTACCTGTAGTTGGACCCTCTAGTCCTCAGTTTGCTGTAGCTCAGACCAGCGAGAAAGCAGATGACCTGGATGGTTTTACCCAGCCCCATCTCGTCTCCCAGGATGCCGCCGGCCTGCTGACAGTGGAGTTCCCACATCCAGCGCACACCTGTCTGCTGGTACCTGACAGTGTGACACACATACAGGTATAGTGAACATCTGAGTATGAACGCAATTATCAATAATGCACAGAAAAGAAAGACGTGTCCGGTGATGAAATTGTATTTGAGCAGAGATCTGATTTACTAAGAGTTAGAGCAAATAACCAAACCTCGAGGAATCATGTGGAAAGAACATTTTCATGAGGACAATGGGTTTGTAATGATTAAAAATGATGCACAAATCTAATAGTTTGTGCTAAACTATGAAAAACATGGTCTTTGAGGAAAACAACCATAGCCAAATACAATAACAAAAGTTGAATCAGACACTAGCTCAGTCAGATGTTAACTATGCAAACCTTTATTTATGAAATACGACAACAGGCTGTCAAAATGAGTTACTAAACAATACTGACCTATAGTAGCAGTTACATCATCAAGTGTATGGTGTTTATCCACTAATCATTGATCAATCATGACAGTTTCAAGATAAAGGTTGGTATTAGACGTGGGTGTGTCACAGACCAAGACACACCGTTACATGCACTAATCTTTTAACATCTGTGATGGCATCACTACCTTACTTTACATTTGAACTATTTGGGACGCAATTTTTTCACATGAAACTTACTTGAAAAGTTTTTTCCACAGGAAACCTGGCACTTTGAAGCCTTCGTCGAACTCTTCATCGCTGTCATCGGAGAGCTCCTCCCCTCTTTCTCTCTTCGACTCCCTATCTATGAGACGCTGTCGCCTCCATCTCCTGCAGAGATAACAAGCGCACACTAGTGAAGCCCGAGCCCATCTGGAGGCAACAACAGTCTCTCCGTTTCACTAGAGATCTTGGTGAGTTCAGACCTTAGTGACTCACTGAGGAAGAAGTGAGAGAGGCCGGCCTCATCATTGAAAGGTTAAAATATTGTCAAGCAGAGCCCAGGGTTATATGACTAGTGAACTTGTGACCTGTTCAAGGTGTATCCCCCAGATAATTTGGGACAGACCGAGCTAAACGCATCCTTAAACGGGGTAAGCAGGCGTGAAGAATGGATGGACAGATGTAACGTTTTCTCATCTTGTCAGTGACTTGTTTTTAAGACTCGCCTACACAGGTGAACGGATAGAAAACGTTGGAATTGTGGGTATTTCCCCCGAGCGGTGGAACATCGTGCGCAAAAAGGGAAATGTAAAGAGAAGAGTTTTAATGGTGCAGGAGAGAGGGCAGTTAGAGGCACAGTCGTCGCGCAGCAAATGAAGATTGATACAGACAATTAGTAGTGCGAGTTCCCCAGAAAGGTGTGAGGTGGAGGGGATAAGAATCCATCTTCATTTGGGCCTGGTCCTGTCACCCTGCCATGAAACTGGTCCTTTAGCTGGGCCTGCGAGACCACACTCTCTAATTAAGTCAAGACTAAGCATTGGTTCAGTTAATTACACTTTTCTGCCCCGGCCCCACCCCCCACCTTACTACAAATACAGCCTGCTCTAATAATATCATTCCTCATATAAGCTAGCCTCACCATCCATGCCGTGTCTATGCTGTTGAATTGACATTCAATCACTGCAGTGGAGAAAAAGGACACATGCCAACACAATTTATTTGGCAGCTATAAATATGAAATCTCATTAGGGCTGCTCTTCCATTAATTTGAGCATTAGAGTGAGTGAGTGAGTGAGTGAGTGAGTGTATAAAACCATGTGCAGGAGGATAATTAGGCCAGTGTGAGAGCAGAGAGAAGAAGAGCAGGGAGTGAATTTGCTTAGTCAAGAAACAGCTGCCAATCTCATCTGGGATTAACTCTCCTTCTGCACTACGGAGCCAGCAGAAACAAACTGCTTTTCTCCTTAACTAAAGGGAATAACAATAGCACATTTGCACCGCTGCCATTGCAAATGTGATGCAAAGTGAAAGAGTCAATGTGGTGTTTGTTGAGCTCGTCATAAACAGGCCCGGATGTATATGTTCTCTTTAGAAGAAGAAAACTTTTTTGCACCTCTACATCACAAGCACAACTTTGAGACCCAAATCCATTGCTGACAAACTGATAACACATGACAGACTTTCAGGGGGAAAATAACAAATATTTAAAAGTTTATAGCAGCAAGTACAAGTCCATACCTTATTCGTTGTCTGTAGTACTCCACATCTCCATCATCTTTGCATTTCTTGTTGTTTTTACTCTTGCCATCCTCCTTTTCTTCCTCACTCTCAGGGCAGTATTCTTCCTCACTCTCTTCTTTCTTCTTTACTTTCTTCCTCCCTTTGCGTTCAGTTTTCCTCTTGTATGGTTTTAACTCGTACTCTTCTTCATCATCCTCCCCAAAGCCCTCCTCCATGGCGTCTCTCTCCTCTCGGTCAGGATCTATGTATTCATCACTGGGCAGGTACTCGGACCCCTCGCTGTCAGTCTCCTCTCCCTCGATGCGACGCTTCCTCTTCGGTTTAGGGAGCTGTGGCTCAACCTTAGGCCGAGCTTTGGGATGAGCCTTCAGAGCAGTTATCTGAAGCTTTTGAATGCGCTTTCTCATTTTTTTATCCTTAGAAGAGGAGACACCGGTAGTTGTTTTGGTTTTGCCCCTGTGATCCCCATCAGGGCTGAGTCCTGAGCTCTTCCTTCTCTTCTTTAAAACAGGAACTTTCTTCCTCTCGGTGGCCATCTTGGCCTGGTCCGTCAAGTACTGGTCAAAGGCCGAGTTCTCCGCAAGCATCACTTTTCGAGGCTCCTTTTTAACTTCCTTCTGCGGGATACGCGTGCCAAAAGGAGTCATGTGACCTTTTCGGATAAGCTCCTCCCATTCGGTTTCTTGAACGGGCATGAGCATGCTGCCCAGTGTAGACGGGCCGGCTTCTGGTGAAACACAAATACACAAACACACATCACACAGAGGTACATACAGGACTGTCAAGTATCAGTACAATAGGGAGTGTTCTGGCCATGAGTAACACTAAGGTGCAATGTTCTGATTAACAGGCTGTCACTTTTTTTTCTGCATGCATATGGAGATTAAATTGCATTTGTGCAAGCATGTTTTATTTTATTTTTTATTATCCTGTTCTGGAAGAGGATGCATTGAACACGTATCATGCTGCAATAATTCACATGATACATTTGAAAGAGAAAAAGAGTGTAAACCTTACAAGAGAACCCAAAATCAGTACATTTAACTCTGTGAAGGTCCGTACTACAGACTTAACATACTGCTCTTTATTAGGTATTAACTTTGAAATATGTTGTTTCCCTATTCTCTATTAGCACAACCATCAGTGATGATTATTTCCTTTTTCTATGCATCACTGCACTCGATATATGACAAAATCTTATATCCAAATTTAAAATGACAACTGTTGTGATGATGAATGAACACAACTGGTTAACAGGTTTGTACGTCAAACACCAAACACACAGGAGCAAACTAATCTGAAGGGCTGCTGAAAACCAGTAAACATTGCTGAGTGTGAACATGGAAACTTTAGAAATAAAACACTGAATGGAACAAAGTTGTCACAAGGGAAATATTAGGAGAGAGTTCTACTGTGATCGTTAAACACACACTTATTACATTTCTCTGATTACAGTAAACATCTCTAAACAACCTTGACCAATATGTTGTGGGTGTGTCACTTCGTCATACACTGTATGAACATCTTTATATTCCAGAACAAGAGCCATCAATGCAGCGTGAAGTCTTCATTTAACCACTCAGTATTAAGTCTCTGCTGAAGTCAACTGTTAATTCGAGGAGTTATGCCACAGATTAGCCGTTTTGGTAACCATGACTACAAAGGGTATTGATGTTTGTCATTGTTTCTTGTTCTGCTTTGTTTAAATGGACGTTTGCAGTGCTGAGGACGACTGGGGTTTCACATATTCAAATCAAAAGCTTTTTCCAGGACATTCCCACCTTATCTCATTCAGTCTGAATCTCCCCATTAACAGGTGGTCCATATCTTAAAATGATATCAATGTGTAAATCAAAGATGGCTTACCTTCCTCTTCTTCATCCTCAGCCAAGAGCTCAGCTTCTACTCTTTGGGCGTCTTCTCCTCCCAGAATGGCCTGAAGTCTCTTCTGTTTGGCTCTGACTTTCTTTAGCTGTTTCTCCTGAATGAAGACGTGTTTTCATCGTCATCAGAGTCATAAGAAATCTTACATTATTGACAAACTGTCATGTCTGTATAACTGACTTTTACCTTATTTTCTTTCTGTCGTTTAACAGATTCAATCTTCCGACTGATATCTTTGCTGGAGGCAGCATAAGGAGAAAGTTGCTCGATGATCTTGTTGATTTGTCTCAGTGACAGAGTTACAGACCTGAAAGACACAGGAGGGCGCTCAGTAAGTTTAATCAGCCATTCCAAAGTTGCAAAAGTGCCGTCACTTAGCTCAGGCGTCATCACATCTTTGTACGTTTATATTTATCCTGCGACAGCGTAATCTTGGTGTCCCAGTCTGTGAATTCCCATTGTGTTTCAGAATTGCATAAGCACTGCACAACATAAACACACAGGCAGACATGCACACATACACAGCGCTGCACTCCCCTGCTGGCTCCGCTGAAACAGCCTTGCCTCTGAAACGCCTCTGTTACTACCTCCAAAGACGGTACAGAGGAGGGATCACTTCACCCCCCCAATAACACCTCAATGACATTCAGAATGAAGACGAAACATCACAGGAGCGTAAATATCTCGGCTTGAAACGGCAGTCTGAATAATGCTACTGTAAAAAAATATATATATCTTAGCTACCCTAAACCTTACTTTGTGATACAGTTCCTACTTTTAATAACAGGAAAGAGACCCTTTTGTGTTATTAAAATTAGTCCACACATGCTACTGCACTTATGATATGTAAGAATTTAAACTAAATTTAATGTCCTTTAATTTCAAGGTTATAGAAACAAATCTTAAGTGCAACCACAATTTTCATAAAGCACATTAATAAATGATGTTTTACAATACTTCTATGAGTATAAAACATAAAGACTAATCGGACCACCTATGTCGTCGAATAGAAAAACTCTGAAGTTTTGTGCTTTACCTGACATCATCCAGAACTGACTGATATTCCTTCTCAGCCTCCGCTTTAGCAGCCGCCTGGTTAGCCTCGTGGATCGCCTCGTCCACCTGCTGCATGACACCTTGCTCGAGGACATCCTGGTCGTACACAGCCACACCAAGACCCTGGAGTTCATCGGCCCCAGAACTGGCCGACGCTGCTTGGATACGCTGCCGGTCGATCTGCAGCAAGGCTCCAGACCTCTTACCTGCACCGCGTTGACAAAACAAAGTACACAGAAGCGTAAGATGGAGAAGAGATGATCTTTGCATGAGGTCAGAGTTATTCATGATGATCATTTAAACTCTTTTATGGTACAAAACTCACCGCTGTTGCCCTCATCAGGTCCAGTGTTGGCAGGGTAAGCTGCAGAAGCCTCAGAGCCCTGGCTGTTTTCCGGGAAAGAGCAGACTGCCCCATCCTCCTCGGTCCCTCCCGGGGTGTGAGCAGCACTGACGGGGCTGGAGAGAGACGAGGACGCCTGGTCCTCTGAACCCTCTACAGGCATGTTGATGCTGCAAACAGTCACTGAGTTAATATAGTTTTAAGACATGCATCATAACTGTGTTACATAGTTGACACTAACAAGTGATCTTAAACATGTGTTTTAACCGCATACAACAGTATTTGAATTCAATATAATTCAGTATATAACAATTATTGACTGTAATTTGTGTTCTCTGCCTGCTTTATATGAATACCTACATTTGTTTATGTTGTGATAAGACTTTGCAGATGTTTTGATTTAAATGTTAAAGCCCTGAGGGGGTTTCTTTACTCCACCCTGTGTGTTTTACATGTTTATGTCTTCTTCTGTCTAATTTAATTCTTATTTCTTCTGCACAAATAAATAAATGTTAAAAATAAAAACAAGTGGTTTCTTTCAGATTAAATGTTTTACAGGCTTAAAGGTAATTATCATCTCATTAAATCATTAAAATCGTTAAAATATCTCTTCTACCAGCATTATCAGCCCATTATACTTCACATAATATAAACTAGAGTTATAAACATATCACAGCCGTCCATTGTTTACGTGTCTGGGCTAGAAGCTAAGCTAATCGTTAGCCTAACATCATCAGCTGTTTCGGGTTCCTTCATCTTTAAATCACCAACACATACATTCATTTAGAAGTAAGCTAACGTTACTGGGTTACCACTTTATTCAGGGTGATATTATGGTCATTTAAACAAGTGTCGAAGCGACAATGAACGACATTACTTACAAAACGTGCAGTTACACAACATCACCGGTCGGGCTTGTGTCAAAACTTCCTCACTTCCGGTGTCAGAGGAGGATCAGAGCAGGGTTGCCAGATTCTGCTGGAGAAACAAGCGTGCAAGTATTTCAAATAGAATAGAATAGAATGTCTTTATTGTCATTATGCAATTGTACAAGGAAATTATTTGGCTTCACCTTAAAGTGCACTCACATACAAGCATCCACAGCTAAGAACAACAAAAGAAGAAGGAACTCTCATTCAGGTAAGATGGGCAATGTATGGAAGGAGTTATTTACAGGTAGTAGCATAACAGAATGTAAATAGATATTGCAGAAATATAAAATAAATATTGCACAGTATGAAATGTCAATTATTATTATAATTATAATTATAAAATAATTAATTGACTCCGGTTCTACAGGAATAATTGTATGCACACACATGCGTATGTATTTGAAAATGGCTCTAAGTAAATTAAAAACATGCAGATGTTCGAAAAGGTAACATTAATATATGAATAAAACATAGGCCTACAGCTCATAAGAGCAAGCCTTAAGGTCAATCAATCAATTTTTATTTGTATAGCGTCAACTCATAACAAGTGTTGTCTCGAGACACTTTACAAAAAGCAGGTAAAATACCTTACTCTTTGTTATGTTACAAAAAGCAAGTAAAAGACCTTACTCATTGTTATGTTACAAAGACCCGGCCTATCCATCATGAGCACTTTAGCAAAGCAGAAAAAGTTACAGTGGTAAGAAAAAACTGCCTTATTAAAAGGCAGAAATCTTCGACGAAACAGCCTTCACAGGCCTAGACTGTGCCGGGCTTGGAAGGGGATAGGGGGAGAGATGGGATAAGATGCAGGAAGAGGGATAGGGAGCAAGGGGGTGGGGGGGGTCAAGCCGTCCATCAACAATTCGGTGGGGGGGGCGTTGGTTCTGGCAGGCCGTCAACCAACGATCTTGAGGAGCCTAAGAGCCTAAGGTATGACAATTCACACCAAATACGCATAATATAGCCTACTTAATATTTACAGTCTATGATAATATGAGGGCATACACAGAAAATGCGCTAAATGTATAAATAAAAACAAACAAAAAATCATGTTGGTTGATTTTGACTTGATTAAACTTCACTTTAGGGTTTAGCATGACTGTAGTTTACATTATTTAATAGAAATGTATTAAACCTTTTTTTTTAGGCTGGGCCCTCTCATTAATTTTCGTGATGACGTGATGACGCTGATCGTTGAACTTTGTCGTCACTACGTTCGGGAATGTGTACAATCATACATCCGTATTTAGACGTAAAGAGATGCGCTCGGGACAACATAAGCATCATTTATTTCTAACCTTTTCTAAAATAAAGTTTCTTTTGTGTCGTATTGATCCGGTGATAAACAATGAGTTTGTGCTAATCAGCTGACAATAAACCACATAGCCTATCTTAATGTTGCCTAATGTTAGCTATGATTCTGTTGGTGAGATTCACATTGAGTTGTGTATTTTTGTTGCCATGGTAATATAAAATAAATCAGATTTGCCATAAAATATTTGCCCAAAGCCAATGCTATAGTTGTTCTTGCTCCAAGAAGAAATATTACATAAATCCACAGATGCTTTTTGTGATGACTTCAATTGTGATAATGATGGTTTGCAACTGTTAAGCCTACTTTTCCCCCACGTTTTAATTGTTTGGCTTGTTATGCCTGTAATAGATACAGGACAGTGGATAGAGTCAGAAATAAGGGTAGAGAGAGAGAGAGTTGGGAATGACATAAGGGAAAGGAGCCTCAGGTCGGATTCAAACACGGGGCCTAATGTCCGGAGGCCTAATGTCCCTGCACACAGGCGCGCACCACCCACTAGTCCACCGTCACCCCCAGCCTACTTTTAAAATGTATTTGATTTGTTCATGAGTAATTTATTGAGTTAAATGTGAATGCATTGCACATTTAGTGAAATATATTTCAGTAATTCAATCTCCTTTATGTAGTTATATAATTTATTTGTTTTATCAAAAGTTATTCTGCTCATCTCACCCAAACACAACTTCCTTCTGCATGTGCAATGTAGAAAAGTAATTAGTTGTTTTATATTTGAGGTAGGTGGATTAAATATGATTACAGCATGCATAGATTTGTGTAACACAGTGTTCAAATGTAAAACATTAAAATAGGGTTTTATCTGTTAAAGCTGCGTGTCTAAATAAGCAACTACACCTTTAGAACAATCTAATACTGTCAAGTTGTAACAACTGTTGGTGGATTTCACCACCACAGCACCCTGCCCTGTGTGGGGTTTATAGGAGACCTTAGGGCTGCAATCAACACAGATTAAGCAAACTGAGCCAAAATACTCTGGAAGAAGTTTTTGGTTAGATACAGAATCCATTTCAATTAGACATCAAGTGAAACTCAGCCCATTTTAAACATATTTTAAATGTAGTCTTCTCTGTGATTGTTAATGGTGTGTTTTAGTGATTTAATGTCTTCCTTCTATTTTTAATTTGCCTTAGTCTTGTATGATCTCTTTGAATTGCATTGTTAGTTAAATTTCCCATATAAATAAACTCGCAACTTGCTCAAGTAATATTTTCAGATCCTCGTTCGCTTATAGTAAACGGATCTGGCAACCATGCAGGGAAGGCATGGGGGCTTCTTGTTCAGTGTTGTTTGCAGCGCCCTCTGCTGGATCAGTGCAGTGTCGCCTCTTTTCCTCTAGATGGCGCCATAAAAGCAATTATTGTTTTAGAGAACTGACCTGAGAGGAACTCGATGAACTACCCCACTCCAATGAAGATGTGCTGGACCACAGTTTGACATGTATCCCATTGTGTTTGTGTTTTGCAAAATCACCTTGGGAACCATGCAGTGTGAGTCTAAGAAGGAGAAGAAAGTTTTGTATTCATGTGTTGCAATATAGTGGTTTAGTCCAACTACACTTTGCATAATTGCGTTGTCTAAATAAACACACTCGTGATCTCAAAACTTCTGCAAAAAAAATCAACATTTTAACACAATTTATCATAAATATGAAAAGACTGCTCTTCAAAGTTGTCTCAATCGTATCTGGTGCCAAGAACCTGAATCCCAGAGGAAGTTTATTTCCAGTGTCTTACTAAAATAAATGGAAGGATTTAATTAAAACATTCTCGTCGCCTGTTTGAGCAAAGGGCAATAATCTTTCCAAACAGTGATGTTTGTGTAAACAGATATTTCTATATAGGGATGGATATCACTGTCACCCTTGACTCAGAAAGTGTTGAAGATGGAGAGAGTGGTCTACTTTATTTGCTTAACTAGTAAATGTGGGTCACCTTTATTGGAACCTCTCCAGAGACCAAAGAGGAGGGAATTCATTATAAAACGTATCAAACCGGGGCACCAACAGCCTGTAGCGGTTATGTATGGCGGCTATAGTCCTCGTCTCAGCGGCCACAGGTTTCAGATACGACCTTGGCACTTCGCTGCATGTCATCCCCACTCTCTCTTCAGCTGTCCTTTCCAATAAAGGCAAAAAAGGATAGAAAAAAAACCTTAAACATTAACTGTATTAAACCAAATAAAAAAGTATGTCCCAGTAAGCAGTAGGCCTTTTCTCATATTATAGTTGAATAAGCAGAAGGCCCTCAGCGTGCAGATCTCTGATCAGGTAGCCAACACACACAGTGTTTTATTTGTTGGTTTTCATCTGGGGGAGTCGTTATAAAGAGCCACAGATAGGAGTAAGAATAAGTCAAATAAACTATCAAGCAGCTGATGAATCACCCACGGTGGGAAATGAACTGATACATTCACACCGTGTTGTGACTATCAGGTTGAGCTGCAGGGAGGAATGTAAACCTTACCGTCTGTCTTCACCCCCCCATCTTGGGTTTATTCAAGCGATAACTTGACAACTTTTATAACTGAGGAGGGGGAGGAGGTGGAGATAATACGAATGTACACATCACATGCACATCATCATTTTAAAGTCAGTTGATGGACCCCACCTAGCTCACAGGATTTAGTGGGTGGCAGAGCTGTCAATCTTAACTTAATGTGTGTGTGCGTTCATGTGTTCGCATGAGCATGTGTGATAATAAATCCTTCTTCTTTGTGTGCAAGGGGTCAGAAGATTTATAGGGTGTTGGAGAGTATAGTTCAAATCCCAGAGGGTGCTGTGGTGCGACGTTAAGACTGCTGCTGTGTGCTGCTTTGCATCCTGACAGTAGCATTACATGCAGCAGGATTTAAAGAGAGAACATTGTGTGTTTATTTACATGTGGAAAGCATATGGCTTTTCTGTTCAGTTCTGGTGCCACTACATGCTGGGTGTTTATGTGCTGAAGGGGGTAAATGAGGTTAAACACTCCCATAGGTGATGGTGCTTTATTTTCTCTATCTGCTTTAGTGATGAAGCATAAGGTCGTTCTTCATCTCTTATCTTCTTCTCGCTGTGATAAAGGATGTTTGAGTCTGTATGGCCTTCATCAGCTGCCTGGAGTCTGACTAATGTCTGAAGAGAGGAATCATTGCACTAAGAATTTTACCTTACACACCATGACATCACAGAGTTGTTTTTTTGGCCTCATATGAACTAGTTACTCACTGGGTCATGGGACTTGCTCTAAAATGGTCCTTGTTTCTGCTTTTGATCATGATAAACGATTTCTTCTGGGTCTTCTCTGATAGGTTTCCATGTGAAGCGACTCTTTTCCGACCTTGTCTGCTGCCTTGTTGAATTTTTGTTTCTTCTACGTCCTTGCGCTTTCACATTTCTTACATTCTGATGAAGACTTTCTCGATGGAAATGTTTGTGTATTTTGTGGTCAGAAAAAAAGTCACTGGTGATATATACATTCTTATCCTGTTCGGTTTTTAACCATTCAAAATAAAGTTGGACCAATTCAATCTTTTCAAAGTATCTGAACTGGATTTGACGTTTTGCTGGCTCTTTACTTCACAATAGTTCTGCTGCTGAAGGCTTTTAGTTTCACTCACACTTCATTTCTCATAATAACTCAAAAGTCTTGTTGAGTAGAAGGTTTTTGTCTTAAAGAATGA